TATAATTCTTTCTTTAATAGAAATGTTTCTTCTGCCCGTAAAGTGTCCAAACCAGGCTTTTCTGGATAAGCGCATTTTTAGAATGTCCATGCCGGTTTCAGTTGGATTATTTGTCAGTTGCTCCGATCAGATCGGTCTCCTCCATTTTGTAGATTATTTACGACTTTTGAATCCACATAAACACATCGGCAAAATCCGGCTTACTTTGAGCATGTGTTTTAAACAGTTTAATCCGTTTGTGAATTGTTTCCACTTCCGCCGTCCTTTAATTTCTTCTTACAGCGGGCATCCAAATGAATGAATCCTGAGTCCAATAACCATCAAAGTCACTCCAATAGTGCTCCTTAATGACGCTTTCATCCTCCTTTAACAAAATACTTCACATTCATCCAGTTTGTGACAGTAGTTGTAGCATTTTTGAGACTTTGAAACTTGAATTACAGCTGTTTACCGCTACTACCCCTTCTGTACCCCAGACACCTAATAACATCCTTCCAGAAGATTAGCATTTAGGACACTCCCAAAGACAATGAAATAACGTTCCTTTCTCATCCAAACACTTGGTGCATAAATCTGGTTTATTAGCCGACATACGATGAGGTTTGACAGGAGTTTTGTACATTCTCATTAACATTTCATATTGAAGTCATTTGAACCTAGTATTTATTGTCTGACTTTGTTCCTAAAAGATATATTCTTTATGGAAAATTGTCTCAGACATCAAGTTAATGATTGTTTTCAATTTAAGTAGACACAGTTTACAGCAAGCTCCTGCAACACACCCCGGACAGCCTCCCATAATCCAAATGTTCCCATGATTTTAAATATAAATGTGTTCAGTGAGGTTCATTCATTCGCTGTGACCCAATACCAGAGGTGTGTCCAGGGTTGAGTTGGCGGCAACACTTGTGGGACGGGTCTGGTTTATTTATCCAGCTAAACTTAATAAATAAATACATACATACAGCAACATTTATCCAGTTTGGAATAAAGTACAGGACCACCAAAACAGAGGTAAACAATGTATTGCTATGGACAAATCTGTCTATATTTATGATATTTCCACCTCTTTACCTTTCTGTCAGACAGCCCTGTCCTACGAGGTGCTGAAGCTGTTATCTATGTTTTCTTCAAAATCACTAGACTCCTTTAAACAAACACAGACACAGTAATTGTTCCCAGCTGCCCATGTTGCTGCTCTGCCTCCATCCGTCTGCGATACTCTGTGACTTTGGTAGTTCCAACCAAAGTCATCACTTCAATTGACTGCTTCACATCTGTAGATCACCAAGGTGACACATACACAATAAACTGTGAAGATTGTAAATATGTTGATCTCATTTTGGTGTCCTGGCCAAAATCCCACTTTCACTAATGAATGTTTCAGTTTTGTATGAGATTGTGTTCTGGTATTGCAATACCGGAGAGACGGAACAGCTTCCACAGTAACACAGTTTACAACAAACACATCAGCTGGAACACAAACAGCGCGCCAGACGGAGAAAATCCTTTTGATCTGATTTAAGTTTCTCCGTTTCATCAACGTCACACTTTGTTCTGACTCACTGTTCATGTCTGTCCTCAGCTACTGCTTCTCTGAGATGTCTCCAGTGTGCGCTGTGGTGGGGGGGGTTCTGGGACAGGAAGTTGTCAAGGTAAGCATGTAAACATCAGGATGCTTTCATCAAGGCATACAAGCGTTTAGTAACTGAGTACATTCACTTGAGTACTTTTTGGACGTATCTGTACTTTACTCAAGTATTTCCATTTAATGCTACATTATATTTCTACTCCACTTCATTTCAGAGGTGAATATCATACTTTTTACTCCACTACATTTATTGTAACACTAACAGTTAGTTTGTCTGATAACAACAGATGATATGCTGATATGATATAATGCAGTGCGGTACTACTAATCTACACAGTATCTAAATGTTGTCCAAATGTACTTACTGCAACACTAAAATGCTCTTACATGTGTAAACCCAGGATAATATAATCTCAAGTAAAGGATCTGAGTACTTCTTTCAGCACTGCGTATAGGAGCATCATACCTCCATCTCACAAGCTGAATGTCATAGACCCTTATTCACCTTTGTGTGTGTGTGTGTGTGTGTGTGTGTGTGTGTGTGTGTGTGTGTGTGTGTGTGTGTGTGTGTGTGTGTGTGTGTGTGTGTGTTCTGAGCAATGATGTGAAATCTTTGCACCTAAAGTGTATTTAATTAAGAATACATTTAATGATGGTTTCTACACTTGAACTGAGCTCAGTGAGTCTGTGTGCATGTATGTGTCTTTCGCTAAATATAGGTTAGAGTAACTTTAGTTAGTGCTAAAACCTAGAATTAGAATATTAACATTGAGCGTGTGTGTGTTTTCTGAGCGATGATGTGAAATAACACAACCAGAATTGTATTTAATATAAAATGCATCTATGATGGTTTCTACACTTGAACTGAGCTCAGTGTGTTTATATGTATGTGTCTTACACCAAATACAAATTCAATTAGTTTCACGACGTACAGTGCTGAAAATTAAAACGCAAAAGCCCAACATATATCTTCAAATAATTGGAAGATTTAAATTACTAAAGTTTAGCTGCTTATCGGGAAAAAAACTATCTTTTTTAAAGTGTGACCAGACAGTTCTCAAAAGGGAAATGTGTTTGAAGTCCTCCAGCTGAACAACTCAGTAAACCCTTGATATTACAACAGAATGGACCAGTGGTAAGGGTCATTAGAGAGGTGACAAAGATAAGATCACTATGGAAGCTAAAAGTGCAAACACCACTGCATGATGACTAATCGACAGATAGAAAAATGAACATATACATCATGAATAAAAACACAAACGCTACTCATAATATAATTATGTATGCATCCTGTAGGGTTTTACCCCAATGACCCTGGGGTCATTGGCATCAGTACAAGAACTTGACCTTTTTATTGTCAGACATGTCCTGGTGGGTTACCACGGAATCAAACTCTTTTCATTTGATTTGAAAACATGGTGGGCTTAGATCATGCAATGTTCTAAATGTAAACCTGGAAGGGAGTTTTGAGGGTAATGCTGGATATATTTCTCAGTTTAATGCAATACATCAGGAGTCTACTAGACTAGACTCAGACAGCCCAGTGTTGAGATGATCCTGTCAGGCTAATCAATAAAGTTTTTACATCATCACGCATCAATGTTTAAAGTTTTATGATAATGCAGTCACAGACACATCAATCATCCCATTCAACGTGGTCTTACCATGGATGTTTGAATAAGATAGTTTTGAGAACCATATAAATCCTCTCCTCTCCTGTTTGCACACTGAAACGTGCTTGTGTTTCAGTGACCTTTTTTTTTTTTTTTCAGCAAAAAAAACTAGAATCATAAAAAAGTATGTGCGAGTTAGTTAGAGAGGGAGACTGGCTGCATCATATTGGCACGTCTCCAGGATGATGTAGATGATGAAACTGACGCTGGCGGGCTGAATATGAGAGATCTCATTCACCTTTGAACTTTTGAACTTTGAGTGACTGACGGGGTGTCTACAACCCGGTGTGGGAATTTATTCATCCTTGGTACATGGTTGACAACATCAATATCCCCATATGACTGTCTCCAACACTATCCCTCCCCTCAATGAGCCTAACATGCCACCGTTTATA